AATCACGAGATGAATCTTTTGAGCCTAGTTGGTCCACGATTGGACAATATTTGTCAAATAAGACGAAAGTGGTACTATTCATCGGGTTGAAATCTTTTCAGCATCTAAACGAGGCCTTTGACAGCGCTCGGCAGGCAAGTGTCCACCGGCAGCGACTTCGACCCTGCGACGGTGGTGGCCACTACGTCCCTTGTTCACTGGTGACCAACGCTCTGGCATGGACTCGTTCATGCTCATCTCCTAGCAAATCTGGACGGAACGCAACGCCAGGTGCTTCAGGGACTCCACGTTAAGCGTGAACATGCTATAAATAAACTCTATTTTCTTCTTAATACAAAGATACGCGCACTCGTGCGAATTCGAGAAAAAAAAGAAACAATTTTTTTATGGAAGTAGAACATATGTAATTTTTTATGTCATCAGCAGATCCTAGAGATAGATTTTTTTTTGAAAGGTACGGGGACTTATTTTGATATGATTCAAAAATATGCAATTTGTCTCATCAAATTCCTCTAAATTTTATCCAAGTTTGTAGAAAATATATTGCACAATTGATTTAATGGTATTGATTTGATAGCATCAATCATAACATTTTTTAAGTTTCGCTTCAATTTACAGGTATTCGTAATCGATTTATCAGGAACAAGAAATATTCTAAGCAGCTTGACTGATCACTGATGGACACGTCCAGATTCCCCGTCACGTTGAGGGCGATTGCGGAGCACTGCAGAAGCACCCATCGTGCATGGCATGGGGCCATGGGGCAAAAAAAATTTAAATAATATTTTTTTAATGATTAATTGCAAATATAAATGTTGTTATACCAGAATTTCACGTATAGCATCCTGTCGGCCGCACAACTGCCGACAGAAACCCTATCGGCATCTCGGAAGCCAACAAGCCTATGTGGCGCACGCGTGGCAGCCGACGCATGTCAGAACTTCTTGTCGGCTTTTTGATGGCCGACTGAGAAGTCGGCAGTCCAAGTGCGAATAGGCCTGCCGGTCCTCCAGATGCGGACAGAAGCCCTAGGCCAAGTGCGAATAGGCCTGTCGGCCGACAGACTGCTGTATGTGAAATTCTTGTATAATAACAGCTTCTACGTTACGTTTGCAATTAATCACTAAAAAAATATTATTTAAAAAAAATTACTGTGGGGCTGGGGGCATGCAGGCATGGACAGTGCCCTGCACCCTGCACGACATTCTTGAATTCACCCCTACCGGCCACACCACACCTGCCATCATCGAGTGCACTTGTACCCGTCACGGACCCCTCGTCCGTCCCTACCAGGCTATCAGTAGTACCAGGGTCTTATTTAGATTGCCTTAAAATTCTAAGCTTTTTTATTCTCTTTCCATCGTATCAATTTTTGAACACAGACATGGATTATTAAATGTAGATAAAAAAAATAACTAATTATATAGTTTGATTGTAAATCACGAGACAAATCTTTTGAGCCTAGTTAATCCATGATCGGACAAAATTTATCAAATAAAAACAAAACGTGCTACAATGTGCAGATTAAAAAAAATTACAATCTAAACAACACCCAGCTGCACCGCACGGCCGCATATGCTCCCAGCAAAACGGCATGGCGCCCCTGCTGCTTCTCTGCCGCAGGGCTGCACTGCATGCGTCAGCCTCAGCCATCCATCCATTCCATCCCGGCACCCGGCAGCATCTCCGGCCGGCCGGCCCGGCGTTCCCGGCGCTGTCGTGCCTCGCCTCGAGATCGATAGGGACGGCGACACGACGGTGCGTCATGCGTGGGAATTGGGAAAGCAACGACGAGACGAGACGAGGCATGGCCGCATGGAGGTGTCGTAGAGCGTGCGCGTCACAGTGCGTGGCGAGCGGGACAGGTGTTGTCCCATCCGCCATCCATCCATCGCGCTCAGGTCAGTCCCTCGTGATCTTTTTTTTACTGCTCGCACAGTCGCCGGCAGCCTCGCACGCAGTGATGGGGCAGCGGCGTCCGGCATGCACCGGAATTTCCTTGCGCAGGTCACTGTTGCTGACGGTGGAGCTGCCGTGTGATATCTTTTGTGGATCTTTACTCCACTTTACCAAGGCGTCAGCTCGTCCTCTCCTCCCCTCCCCTGCAAAAGCCGTATAGTCACTGTTGTTCCACTACTATTCTCTGTTTTTGCCGCTCCCTCATTCTCTGTAGCTGAAAAAATAAAGTTTTTTTATTAGAACCGTTACAATTTTATTAGTTTAGAGAAACGCCGTTACTATTTATTTATTAAGAAGCATATCCTTATAATTTGTTTTCAGCTTGAATCGTACCGTTTTCTAAAAGCTTTAGCCCCACGCGCAGGTGACTTTAAAAAATAGTGTATTCGCCCAAAATAGCCTGCTGCTCCTCTCCTTCCCCTCACTAACGTATAGGCCCACACGTCAGCTCCTCCCTCAACCTCCGGCCTCCTTCTTTTCCCATCTTCTCAGTGCAGCAGCAGCCGCCGTCGCATCTCGTCGTGCTCCCAGGTCCTTGGCCTCCGCCATTGAAGGACAGGGTCACGCCCCCGGAGCCCACTCCGCGAAATCCGAGTCCCTCGTGCGGCTCGGTGGGAGAGATCCATCCGGCGGTGAGTGGGAGGGCCAGCGTCCACACAACCGGGGGACGGGCAATGGCGGCCGTGGCAGGCCCACTCTGCACGTGGCTCGTCGTCGCGTGCTTGTCTGCGGCATGCGACGCCGGCGGCTGCTGCTCGCCTGCGTGACTGCTGCGGCGGCGGCGGCCCTCCAGCTTGCCCGCTTGGCCGCAGCGGCCGCGGTTGCTGGCTTGCTGCTCGCCATCCACCAGTGCTTGCCGGCCCCGTCAGATCCGCGCACGAGCCGAGCTCACTGCCGTCGGTAGCGCCAGGCTTCTTGGCCGGTGCCGAAGAACTTGGTTTGGTTACTCCCTCCCTGGTGATTTGGTCGTTAATCCCAGCAGTGCAGTATCAATTTTGTGGTCCGCTCGTCGATCCCACGTGCGCAAAAGCTTCATCTAGTAGATTGGGGTCGATTTGGTTGTTTGGAGCCTGAATTCAGTGGTGACGGGTTGCTCCTAGCGTTGAGGATTTCGATTTGGACTCAAAGAAGACTTGATTCAGATGAGCCCCGAAGGAAACTAGAACGGCTGGGAGTTGAAGGAGAAGCTGGCATGTGAGGTCCACACGTCAGTGAGGGTGAGGGAGAGAAGCAGCAGGGGCATTTTGGATCATACGAGAATACACCGGCTTTTACTCACCTGCGCGTGAGCTAACGCAGAAGATGGCACGATTTAAGCCGAAGAAGAATTATAATGGTCCAATAAAAAAACCCAAAAATTAGCGTATGGTCAGATTGCTCAAGTCTTTTACCAGTAATCCTTTTTTCTTCTTGATTCTTGATGAAAAAAACTATGCTTTCGGTAATCTCAGACTTGGCAATAAGCAATGTTGGCTCGTATACATGTACCACTGAATATAATACGTTTATTCAGCCAGTGTGGAGCGCATACTTGTGGGGTGTGCTGTGTGTGTGCACTCCAGCTGTGGTCGGCACATCTTGACTTCTCTCTCGTTCGCACGGGACGCGATGCGACCTTTGCGCAGCGCCCACGCACGCACGCGCGGAGGAGGAGGAGGCTGGCTTGTCGCCCTCGAGGAGCTTGCACGACAAGCCTCCAGGACGCAACGCAAGCATCAAGGCGAACAGGACAGTACAAAACAGTACCACCGCGAGTGATCGCCCCATTAATTAATTCATTACTAATCACCGTGCTTGGCTGGTGGCTGCCTGCCTGCGAGTCTTGTAGCTCAAGAACAAGAATGCAGCGAGTGGCTGGCAGAGTGTCCCGATGCAGCCCACCCAGCCGGCCGGGCCGGTGAAAGGGGGCCGTTTGTTCGGTTACCTTGGGCGGGTAAAAAAAAAGTAAAACGCGCAGCAGCTGCTGCATGCTCGTCACGTTCTGCACTGCGCTGCGCTGCGCCACGGGACAGAAAAAAAGCAGCAGGGGTAATTTACGGCGTCAGGCTGAGGGAGGCGGTGCCATGCCGTGCTGCCTGCCGTCTCTCCGGATTACTACTACGTACAATTACTGTCCCCGACCCCCGAGGCACGGACAGAGAGAGGCGCACAGTAAAACGACGTGCCATCCGTCACGTGACGCGTACTACTCGAGCCCGTCGTCTGATCGTCTCCCACCTCCAGCTCATGCGTGCCATCAGCCCTGTTCTGGCTGATAGGCGATGTACGGTTGGCTGATGTGTTGTTCGTACAAGTACGCCAAGCGAAGAGGGTTCACTGGTTCTACGGGTGGTACTACGCGTACTCACCGTCAAGCAGAATGTTCGGTTAGTTGGTTCCTGTTATGGTTGGTTCGTTTACGTGACAGAGAGAAAAATAGAGAGAGAGAAAAATACTGTTGTTGGCTGATTTATGTGAATAGTTAGAGAGAGAGAAAAATACTGTTGTTGGCTGATTTATGTGAATAGTTAGAGGGGGCTGGCCAGCCAGACCAGCCGATCGGGCTAACGATGCTGTAACGAGCCGTAGATTGCGCCATGTTTTAGCTTGAAGCGTGCTAGAACACACTGGTTTCTGAAAGCTCGGCAAGGGGCAGTACTCCAGGCTGAAAGGGACCAGTTTGTTATGAATGAATGAACAAACGAAATGTGCACGTCTACGAAGGTTGAGGAGAATCTGGTGAATGTATTACGTCAGTTTCAGTTTCTCTGGTTTCTGAGAAAGCAAAGAAAGATGAGTTCACATGAACAAGCATTTTAACAGTACTAACATGTTTCCACTAATCTCCGCGGGATGAACAAGCTGATCCCCCAAAATCCATACAACAGGCTATATTATACGAGCAGGCAGATTCAACCACAAAAGAACCATCTCCTAAGCTACTAGTTCTACTACATTCTTTGCAGATTTTGCACTTGTTGACAGTGGAGTAGCCACTGAACACAGCAGAGTACCCAGCTCAGCTCAGCAGCAAGATCAGCAATGCCGTCGCCGGTCGCGAGTCACGACCTGGAGGAGACAGCGGCGGCGGCGTTGAGCCCCCTGGCGAGGCCGTGGACGGCGCCGTAGCTGCGGTTGCCGAGCCCGATGCAGCCGAAGAGGAGCAAGCCCTGGCGGTACGGCAGCGACGTCCGGCGCCGCATCTCCTCGGCCTCCGCGCGCCGCGCCTCGTACAGCCGCTCGTGCGCCGACCTCCTCCTGCCGCCGCCGCGGTGGCCCGGCGCGCCGCTGCCCCTCCCCTTCGCCGCCGCGGGTGACGGAGACGGAGTTGGTGACGATGCGCTCGCCTTCGCCGCCGCCGCGGTTGGCGGAGCTGGACCTGCTGCAGCGTGGTGGGAATGCTGGTGCTGGTGGTGGGTGGTCTTGCCGCCGTCCGACTTGCTCCGGTGGAGCAGGTCCTTCAGGAACCCGCCGAAGCGGCGGGATCCACGGGAGGACGAGCACGACGTGGACGAGGCAGAGGAGGCGGTGGACGAGGACGACGAGGAGCGCGACGCCGCGGGGGTCGCTGCCGGCTTTGCCTCGTCGGCGGACTCGGGCTCCGGCAGCGGTACAGGCGCGTGGGCCGCGGACCGCCAGTGCGTGCGGAACGGCGACATCGAGCGCGCCTTCCGGCGCAGGGAGCGGCTCCGGACGCGGCCGCGCTCGTCCGCCTCAGCCTCTTGCTCCGCGCCAGCGCCCCGCGCCTCCGCGGCAGTGTCGGGGACGAAGTCGAGCAGCGCGGCGGGGTCTGGGTGGGGCTGGAGCAGCGCGGCGGCGAGGCGGACGGGGCGGATCTGGCCGTTGTGGAAGAGCTCGTCGGCGGAGGACATGGCGGCGGCGGAGGGCGACGGGAAGCGCGAGGAGAAGTCGAAGTCGAAGTCGAGGACGCCGGTGATGGCGTCCTTCCCGCCGCCACGGGTGGGGCTGGTCGGCGCACTGAAGAAGAAGTGGGACGGGTAGGGGTCCCGGTCGCGGTCCCGCGTGGGGCTGGACGGCGCGCTGACGAACGGCGTCGAGCAGGCGCTGTCGTCGCAGGCCGCCTGCGGCTCGTCCGCGCCGCTGGCAGTCGCGGCGTCGGCGTCCGCTGCCGCGGTGGAAGCGGCCATCGCCGGGGCGGTGGAGGCGAAGAGCTGCTGGTGGGTTGGTGGCAGTGCCTTGGACCTTGGTGGTGGTGCCGGTGTGTTGGATGGGGGTGGGAACTGGGAAATGGTGGTGGGAGAAGCGTGGGAGAGCGCGGAGGTGGGGAGTTTTTAACTCGGGGGCCGTTTCGCGGATCAGCCCCCGCGGTTTTGCTAAAAACGCATTTGGTCTGCCTCTGGGTGTCCCTAGGGGCCGTGTGGTAATAAGCGGACTCCGCGGGTGTCCTCGTGGGAGGACATTATTATTCCCTGTGCCCGGCGGATTACCAGATCTGACCCTGACGAACCGCGTAACCGCAGGGCGGTCCCTCGCCTGCCCGGCTGCCGGTGGGCCCCCGAGGAACTCGTCGCAGCAGTCCGCTCGTCCCGACGACGATGGCAATGCGCTCTCGCAAAGCAGCCAGGGAGTGTCGCCGTCGCCGCTGGAGCAGGATGAACTCGGGCGGAACGGATAGCGCCGCCGCGGCGGGCGGCTAGTGAAGACGGTGCTAGGCGGGTAGAGTAGGTACCGGCCGACACGCGCACGCCGCATGCGGTTCCATGGGCCGTCCAGCGATCACGATGCCCGGCCGGCTGTGGTGGCCGGGGACGAACGAGCGACGGACAGCTGTCCGTGCGGGGTGTGGAGATCCGAACCGTACGTGCAGGTGACGCGGCGCACAGTTCAGCTACGTACCACCTAGCCATCGCTGCTGCTACGGCTTCGCTTTTCCTCTGTCCTGGGACGTGCGTGGATCGGCGTCGGCACCGCCACCCTACGCCGCGGTGCTGAGCGGTGCGGGTGCGGCGGCCAGGCTGCCACCCTGTCAGTATCCTCGGTGCCTCTACGGTTCGCCTAGCCCTTGCGCCACGGGTAGGCGGTAGCCTACGACGGGCCACGTTTCCGTTTTCTTTTCCACGCCGCCCATCATCACCGGCACGGCCACGGCACCGCCCTTTCCTTCGTCCGTCCGTCCTTCCCTTCCTGCCTGCTGTCCTACAGGCTACGGCTGCGCTCCACACCGTACGGCGCCGCACGCCCGCTGGGGCACGGTGGAGGACGATGGCGAGTCGTACGGCCTCCTCCGTGCCGCGGTTGCTGCTGTTGCGTGCGTCAACTGACCACTGCTCCCGTCGTCACGTTACTCACGTCGCGCGTGCCGCACCCCGTGTCTGCCTTCCAAATGCTCCCCGCGAACTGTACGGTTTTTTTTTACAATTTGACCTTTTTTTTTAGAAAATTCACGTTTAGACCCTTGAACGACGTAAACTCAACTTTAGATTCACGGCGCTGAGGTTACACGTCTCGGCTGCCTGTCCCTATTTTGCGTGGACGCCGATCTGGCGCTTACGTGGCACACACCTCGGCGCCACGGATCACAGCGCCAAGCCTGGATTCAATACCCACAGCCGGCTTTTTCTATCCGAGGCTTGTTTCATTTGTTCTTCCTTCCTCTCGGGTTCATCATCTCCCCAACCCGTTCAATCTCTTAAATCGACTATTTGCACCTTAAAAAATTAATTTGATCCATAGATCTTTAAGAGCAAAGTATCCTCTCTTCCCTCCTTATTTTTTACGCATTGATTTGTTCTATGTTAGGTGTATTTTGTAGCCCTAGGTACGTCATTACTAGAGTTTTGAAGTGATTATTAATATTTGTAATATGCAATCTTAGATGCCAAGGCGTGAAAAAGCTAGTAAACCAAGGTAATCTCAGCGTATCTTGTTATTATTACGTTTTCATTTATGTGTAGCAAATAAGAAACCCTAGGTTTATGGTTTAATGTTCATTGCCTTTGGTTCTTAGAACAAAATTGTTTCAATTGTAGTTATGGCTGGAAGACCGAAAATGCCTTCGACCCATTGCCTCTGCCTAGTGGTGTTCCTGTGCCTATGTGTTTTTGTGGTGATCCTTGCAAGGTGGCCCAGTTCGATGAAGAGGACATGTATAAGCAGAGGTATTGGATGTGTTCTAATTTTACGTTTCAGCCTACACTTCGTCAGCGCCGCATTAACAAGATAGTGAGAAATTGATGCTGTGTAATAATTATTTTGTTTCATATGAAATCATGCATGAATTATTTGTTGTGTAACATTTGCATGTATTGTAGACCCCTCCACCGCTCTGTGATTTTGAGTAGTGGATCGACACTAAGATCAAACTAGGAAGACAAGGAGTGGATGACGGCTATTCTATTTGGGAGGCGGAGGACAAGGAGATGATCGAGAGGAGGCGCTTAAAGAGGGGGCTGCAGAAAAGGAGCACAAGGAAGAGGAGGAAAGGAGGCGTGTTGTCACAGCGTCTGAGGAGGAGAGGGAGAAGAAGCTTGAGCGTGTGCGCTGAGCAAAAGCAGCGATGGAGGAGAATCCCGATGCCCTGAGGAAGGGAAAGTGGCCTCGTTGCACTCAGCAGTCTGCATGACTTGCTAGTTGTATGGTTTATTCATAAACAATGTTATCTATTCTTGGACTTTGCATTGTGTTATCATGTAATGCACTTTAAGTATGGACGTTATTTAGTTTGTCGACATGTACTTCTATCGTTATTGTGTTGTTTAATGCGCCCAAGTATTGGACTTAGTTTTATTATTTGTGATCATAATATTTAGTTAACGTACTACAAATAAAATCTAACGAAGTACTGTATTACATAATCCAACACGCACAACACATGGAATGGCATGTGAGAACATGTATCAAACTAGGGTACAGAGGTCCTAGACTAAACCTAACATGCCTTAGATAATTGAAGCGAACAACAAGCACATAAAATAGCATGTGAGAACATATACCAAACAAGGGTACATATGTCCTTCGACTAACCCTAAAATGCTTTAGGTAATTAAACTAAACAACAAACACATGGATGTGGCATATGAATAAGTTAGATTCGTTCTAGCTAGTAGTGTGGCCACATAGCAAATTGTGTTGCACCTTCTCCATAGTATCCTCCCATTGTTGTTGGTGGTGGTGGCCGGGGTGGCGGTGGAGGCCCCTTGTTCTTGTGATTAGGGCAGGTGCAATATGGATTATTGCAGAGTGCCTCCTATGAACCAGCACTGTTGTTGTTGTCGTCGTCGTCTTCGTTGTCCTTGTAACCACTGCTAACTTCCCTTTGTAGATCGAAGATACAGTCCTACATGTAGTAGATTGTAACACCCTCGGTGTTACTGTGGCAGAACCGCCCAAAATAGCACACTTTCGGAGGTGCTCGTCTTGCACCAGACACTAAGCACCCCGAAAACAAGTTACCGCGAGTGGTATCCGTCGGGCACACCCAGCGGGAGAACTCAAAAGATCCACATTTTTTCCAATGATCCAATAATGAGAATGAGTTACAATATAAGTCCATTTCATACATCAGAGTTTCTTAAAAAGTACATTATTACAATACCAAATACCAGAGTGCGAAATGATAAACATTTGGGTTTAAAAATATCATCTAGCGGTAAGGGGCGAGGATCCGTCTGAGCCCACCAGAAGAATCCTCCACACAAAGGTACTCCTCAAGCCTCACTTGCAACAGGGGTAAATAAACCCTGAGTACACAATGTACTCGCAAGACTTATCCGACTAGTGGGAATAATTTTCCGACTCCAAGGAATATGATAGGCTTTATGGTTTGCTAGTTTTCTTTAGCGAAAAGCAACACTAATAGTGAGTCCTTATTTATGTCTTATTATTAGCCGTATTAAGTTATCATCTAGCCAGTCTATATAAGCACCTGTTCTACTTTCAAGCAAGAGTTGAGAAATCAGTTTCATTTCTTCTCCTTTGAGCTTTCAGTTCTTACTACGGTGCTAAACCGCAGACAAGCCGTACCGGATTTCCCGGCGATTCACGAATCAATGTGCCCAGCTGGGTGCCCCAAAAACACACACCCCGCTTGTACCCCAGGCACAAGTAGGACTAACCCATCACTCTCTTGTCCCGGGTGTCTAGGTCCCTGTCCAAACTTGGACTCCAAGCCCCCACTCCTGAGTCCCAGACTCAGTGTGGTGCAAGGACCTCCACCATCCCCGCCTCCAATCAGTTGGTCCGGAAAGAGCCAGATCCGCGACAAGAGAGCAATAAGTCTTCTCTGCGCTCATACCCAAGTATGCGCTCGGGACAATATCTCTGTGAATTGCCTAGAGCCATATGCAACGACCGGTCCTTAATCGACACAGACAGGGAAAAAGTGTAACCGAGCTATGCCCTGTTGGCCGTAGGACACAACCCCTTACACCCACCAATACCCAAACCATATCCCTGCCCGGTCACTAGTTACCTTTACCATTTTATCATGAGTGATCATATTTATCACCTACTTGCGGGTAACAATAGGTTACTCACGCTACCGATATCCTGAGCATAGCAACTACTCGACCTGTACTAGTATGACTCATAGGTAGATATACTTATGCATGTAGTTTCCATAAAATACCTGTAACGTAAAAGCACATCATATACATATTCAGTGATTAGTAAAAATAGGGGTTATGCATCGGGGCTTGCCTTGGGCAGACGACAGGTCAGCAAGGTCAACACCAGCAGGCTTCGGGGCTCCCTCCTACACGAGGATCTCCTCCTCGTACTCATCGATCACCTCGTCGTACTCCGGCTCGCCGACGGGCACGAAGTCTACCAGCTCGTTATCTACATGCATGAAATGACGATGCAATGCTTAGGAATATAACAACAGCAACTCTTAAAATAAAAATACATCAATTTAACTACTAAGCTAGTGCTATTGACCACGGTGCTAAGCTATCTCTTGACATTCGTTATTACTATAGCAACTACAGGTGTTCTTACCCCTAAAGCTAATTTTACGCTATATACGATAAAGCAAAGGTAATGGCTACTCTATTCAACAACGCATTGTAAGGCTACAAAATTTACAACAAGTATATAATAACCTAGCGAGCCTACTGTAAAATTTTTATATCCATAACTATCACCAATCTTCCACAAATATTCCTACAACTATTAATCTACATAATAT